GTACTCCGTTACATCTGCCGAGTGTAGAGGCACGAGCACCTCCACTGCCCCTTGAGGCAGGTCCTGACCAGCGCAACAACCATCGGTAGGACATCATACTTCGGTCGCACCCAACACCGGATCAATAGACATGGGTTCGAAGACCATTGCCCCCGCCGTACCCATTCTCGCCTTGCACCACTGTGGGGGAATGGGCCCGGCGGGGGCGATGGCCTTCGAAACCATGTCGGCAGATCCTGTGTTGGGTGCACCGGGACAAGACGTGGTGTCGATGGCTGTCGTGCTGCTGATGTCCTGTCTGAAGAAGAAGAGGAGGGGGTCAAACCCCTTCACCCAGCAGGAAGGTGGGAGGAGCGCAGACAGAGTCAGAGCAAGCTAAGAGCACGCAGCCGTAGGGAAAGCGTCTAGGGGCAATCGCACTCATACTGTTGTAGGGGCGTGTTCGGTTAGGACGCCATGATAGACGCGCGATATAACACGATCGCGCCGCGCTGGACATCAACGCTTGCACGAGACGACTATCGTTTCCGTTTCGTGCTTGTTTCCCGGGCTGGCGCTAGTCCCAAACAACAACTGCTCGGTGCGTTGTCCATGGATGACAACACCAATTTGATGCCCATCCTGTTGCCGAAAGCCCGATGCGACTTAGAATCATACATGAACAGCGACCTCCATGGCCACGGCAACATCCTCAGACAAGCGGCGCATGCCCTGCTACACACCAATGTGTGGCAGGGGTTACTGCTTGCCTCAGTTTGTTCGCCAGGCTAGAGTTGTCATTGCCCATGTACGAAGCCATGTCGTACCTATTAGCTATGATTGGCATGAAATCGATTTGTCATGGACGGCCGGCGCACCGAGCACGTTGTTGTTTTGGAATATCACCAGCCTGGGGAACAAGCACGAACCCTGAACAAAGGCCGTCAGAGTCATATCGCATGGAATTGTACAGCCCGTGAAAGGTGTAGCCTCAAGGAGGACATCGACTTACGAAAGTAGTCTTTGGTGGGGCTTTGTCTGATCGCGAAACATCATAATTGTAGTCGGTGAAGACTCTAGACTAAGCGCATGGGAGCACCAGCCTGGACATCAACGCACACACGGGACCATTTTAAATGGTTGTTCCTCAAGCTGGCGCAAAACTCTAGCAGCGACGTGCTCGGTTCGCTGAACATGGACGACTGCAGCGATATGACGCCATTTTTGTCGCCGAAATCTCGGTGCGACGTGGCGTCCTACATGGACAACGACACCACTAGCCTCCGGGACAAGCGCAGGCAAGCTGCGCATGCCCTGCTGCGCTCTGGCGTACTGCCCTAGTGCCAATATCAGAGACAAGAACGCCAGCCCGTTTCCGGTCATCAACGCTGTAGAGAAAAGGGCGCTCGGTCTTTGAGCTCGCCATTGTATCCCGCCGCACTAGTCTAAACGGTTAGCATCCTTCCCGTCCCTTGATACGCCTGCGGCAACTCGGGCTCGGTGATTGCCGGTCGTTTCGTCCTTTGCCAGTGGGGTGTTGCATCTGTTGGTTTCTCCTGTCAGAAACCGGGCTTCTGACCCGTTTTTTACTACCTTTCAGAAAACCCGGTTTCTGACGGGCGGAAAACCCGTACGCCGTTGCCACTTTTACGACGCTAGACTGTAAAAAAACCTTGGATACTGCTCAACCAATCCACTGCTTCTTTGTCACCTCGGCGTTCTGTCTCAAGGAGAGAGAGGGGATCCTTCTCTGCTGGTGCGGGCGAGGGTGGTTCGGTCTGGAAGCTGACGACGCCACCTATCTACAGTATATAATGAGAAGGTGATCGATACATTGTTGCCGTTCTGAGCGAACAGCATTCGAAGACCGTTGCGAAAACAGATGGGCGAGCCATTGTGCTGCACATTACCCGTCTGGCTACATATTATGTGGATTCAAAAAACGACCATCGCCATGTGGGGTGTGGACACACTTTTGTTCAAGATGCCCTCGTTCTTCTAACCCTTGAGCGGCGGGGCGCAATCGCCAGGCTGCACATTTTTCGAATATGCTACGCTACACCTTATACTACGACGGCTTCACGACTACTGCAATCCGTCCCTCTGGTGTACTCGGCTGGTGGAAGCTCGTGTTTGATTGCTTGAGAAAAAGTAGGATGATCAGCCACACTTACTCTGTGTGTCCTACGATAGGTCTGGCAGCACCATGGCACCAGACATCGGCCGCACCCAACGAACCTCCACTTCAGCTCCTTCTCACTGCTGAGGCTAAGAAACATGAAGATGCACCTTGGCGGGTTGACGACTGACAAATGAGTCGGGAGTTGTTAGAGGGAGAGACTACCCCTCCACCCAGGATTTGAAATGCGCAGCGGGGCGCGGGAGACGACGCACATGTGCTCTGCGGCTGCACAAGATGTCCCTTGGGTGAAAGCCGTTCAGTACATTCTATGCAGACCCCAGAGGGATGGATGTGCGGAGTGTAATCTGCACTCCTAACTGCAAGGGAGACACATGTTCATCTGCACGCGAACCAACACAAGGGCAGGGAACAACGGGTGTTTCTATCCCTCTCGGCGGTGTATGACACAGGTAGGTTGATCGTTTAGCGATTCCATCGTGGGTAAAACTCGTTCCGGCCAAATGCCCGTCCTGTCGTGAGCCCTGATCCTGGCGGCGGGGTGTTTTTTTTTTTGCCCTTCCTCGGTACACAGCTGTTGTTGTTGTTGTTGTCTTCACATTGTAGTACACTGCATTAGACTATCATCCCTGTGCAACAGTTGCAATTACGCCGCATGTTCCCTTTCGACTCGTCGCCGCTGAAACGGCCGCTCTCTCGACCAGGAACCTGGAACCGGGTGTCTTTCTCTCTCTCCCTCCATCCCTCCCCCCCTACCTCCCTCTCTCTACGGCGATCATGTAAGAAGCCTACCCTTGTTGCTGCTGGAAGTTCGTTGTAAGGCCATGTCTACAGAGGACGGAGGGTATGCCCTCTCGCAGGTCCCCCTCGGCATCCACACCGCACAATATGGTTTTATTAAATGTAGGGGCGACGTCGTAAACTCGGGTGGCTATGTAGTCTAAATCACGACGCATGGAACCGAAGTCGCACAGATAGCCGGGCGTGAAGCCCAGCCGCGTACCTACCTCTCGGTTCCTCCTCCGATATTACTCTCGTTTTCTCTTCCAGCCAGCGGAAAACCACCGACGGCGCAGTCTTTCGTCGGTTGCTGCCATAACCGGTGGCAGCCTTCCGCCGGAACAAGCCCAGATGGGGTTGTCCCGGATTGTCGACGCCAACTCTAGTCGCGTGAATGAGCTGGTGACACCAAGATGTTGTCTCGTTTAGCCTACCACCAGATCTAACCACGCACTATGTAGCTGATGAGCTATTACTGTAGATTCATCTATGCCATGCTGCTTTTTTTTTCCCACCAGGTCGAGGGAAAAATGAGTGTGTGTGATTCACGGGTCACCAGGTGAGCGTTTCGTTTTCTATTTTTGTTTTGCTTGGGGGGTTTCGCACATTTTCCCCGATGGAATCGTCCTTCGTTTCTCCTCGCGCGGCAGGACGCTTTTATGGCAACTTCAGTGAGATATCCACAGCGTACCATAGGTAGGTCCTGCGGCGTCGCTGGTCTTTCTTTGTTGGAAAATCACGTCTTTGTACCGGTAAGAGATCGTGCGACAGGGCCTTATAGGACGATGGACACGAGAAGGACAGGTTGGTGTCCAAGTGTGCATTAAATAACGTGGGGTCGGGCCCCTCACGGTCAATGCACACCAAGTTTAGACAATTGTTACGTCGTTTGTTGGGGCGTGCCGTGTTCCCTGTGGCTGGATGAAGCCTCTGTTTCTCTCACTGGGTTGCAAGGCATTGCAGGTACTATTGATGTGCACCGGCATACGGTGAGTTGATACATTGCTGATAGGATTTATCGAAACTATGAGTCATGGTGATCACACGAAACTCAGCCACGCGCACGTTTGTGTTGCCTCCCTCATGCCATAGTCTAGACTTCACACACAAGCCGATAATGAATAGCCACGGGCAAGATGTCCCAATACTCCAAGTCTGTACCGCCAGTTACACGGGCGGCTTGATCATTCTTTGACCGAAATGACGTCGAAAGCATTCATGCTTGTCAGTCAGCAGTCGATGTAACGTTAGTCGCTGGAGACCCCGATCCGCCATATTCTCAGTGACGCATCCGGGGGGGGGGGG